AAAATGCACTTGCATCATGACTCACTCGTTGTTCTACGGATTACCCGGCATTTCATATTTTCTTATTGCATATAAACGTTCGTTTGGTGTTTGTTCAAATACGTACTCTTAATAAACACTAATAAAACTATGTATAATCTTTACTTGTTGCAGGGTTCTACTCTGCTAACCATAGATTTCTACAGGTACTAAACGGTTTTGAATGGACAGTGTTAAATGATTAACCGTTGGGCTATCAACGCAATTTGAGTAAATGTTCACCTTATTACAGGTCCTAGCAAAACTTCTGGGAAAATTAAAATCATTCACGTAAGTAATAGAGCCATTCAATCAAAAAGAAAAAAGTCAAGCAAATTGAGGGCTTAAAAAATTGTACCAAAGTCGCCTCTGTCGTGCATAGGAACCCTCCTCAATCTACATGTACTGTACATAACATTATAGAGATTAAGTTTATAAATTGTAAAACACTTGAAGTAAGCATTTATTTCTAAGTCTGAAGGAAGAATTTAAGAAGGAATGCCACACCAATTTTTTTTTCATAGATCTTTAAGACATCCCCTTTAAACTATGGTTTCAGCATTAAAAGGCCGATATTAGCTCTCAATTTATTTTATAAGATTTTTTCCCCAATTTTTCATAGGAAAAAAAATAACAATTAAACAATTTCATTTCAATTTCTTTTTAAAATATGATTGACTCACATATTCTCCCTAGTTGTAACTAGTTTTATGAAGATTTTATCCATATGTACAAAAATATTTACAAATTTTGTGTTTTATATTCATAAATAATATTTAATTTAAAAAATTAAAATGTCACATTTTATTAGACATTCATATTATGCATTTATTAATAGCAAATTTTAAACCATTAAGCATCTTTGATTTGAACGTATTTTATTGTCTATTAACTTTACAAATGGGATTGGGCAAAAGCTCTAAAAAATTAATACGTCCTTTCCCTACATATAAATTATACCAAACATATTTACATATATGGGTTTCAGCTTAAAATAAATAAACACAGAAAAACATAATAATCAGAGGAACAATATTCAATTTAATATACTTTTTATATAACACACAAGCTGAATAGAATTCGTAAAAGTAATAATATCAACCAAAACAACCTGACATTTTAATAAATGTTTGTACAATGAAAAATAGGTATTCATTTTCAACATCGTTTAACGTTTCATCTCCCCTCAGTAAAGTGTGAGTATCAACAGTATGTAATTTTCCCATTCGCAGAAATGAGTCAAAAAATTCTTTTCTGGCCTCTGTTATATTTTTTGCATGAAAAGAAATGATGATGAGTATCCTCCACTCTTCCACAAGAACATAGGGGACTCTAAATTACATAACATCGAAAAAGATCGCTATATTAAGCACACAGTTGTGTCGAAGCCTTGTATGTAATATATTTAAGCGTCGAATCCCATAACTGAAATAAGAGGGTGGCATAGGTTTAAAGAAATGGACTTTTTAAAGATAGACAATGAGGAAGAATTTCTTACACTAAGAGGTAATGAGTTCAATTCGTCAATAACAAGGGGAATGAAAGTTGACTTATATGTTTGCAATCTGCATTAAGGTATCTCCAAAAATCATTCAGTCCAATTGATTTTCGTATCAATGACGTACATGTACACAACTGCAGCTAATTTAAAGGACAATAAAAGACAAAACCATCAGTTGAATGGTAATACTTACTTGAATGAGAATTCATACAAGAATTAATGATATTTATTCCTGGGCACCTGATCCCACCTCTGGAATTTCCAGGGGTCCGTGTTTTATGCCCCCTTCACAGAATTGATTTTTGGAGATCGATCACTGTTCGTTATCTTAATTCACCTTTTTCATCCTCAGTATCAATAAGAAATTTTTAAGTTTGCAAGAAAAGTTAACGTATGCTGATACTTCATGTAAAAATACAACCCTTTGCTATATTCAACAGGCGTACACAATTCTGGTTCATTACCCGCGAGTAGATATTGATACTTAAGGACATTTTGTATCAATATAATCACAGTAATGTTTAATTCTTCTTTGTTTTTGCATCGTTCGTTTAGTTTAAAAATTTAATTTAATATCGATGTAACTGACAATACAAATTCACCTATCTTTATGTCATGTGCTTGATAATACTCAAAAATACATGTTCATCCTATCCTGTAATTTTATCGTCGTTAGTAAATATTAAAACCATACTCGATGTGCTACCCTGTTTGTTAATCATATCAAATAAAGTACCTCGCTGGTAAAAAGATATCACTGCAGGCTGCAGTTTCCAGGAAACGAAATTTTTCTGAAAATTCTTGCGAGTTGAAACTTGTTTCATCATCCTTTGCATTAATGACCCTTCTTTACAGAAGCAAGTATTTTTACGACATGCCATCAATCAAGCTGTGCCTTTCTAAAGAGCCACTTTGTGGCAAATATGTTTAACATCCATAATTAATAGGTGATAACTGCTGGGAACTGAAGCGCATGACAATGACGTTATGGAAATATAGAACTCTTGTTCTTTCTGACAAACTGACTTTGGATACCCTTATCTGAAGGAGCTTGATATCAGGCTTCACATTGCTCTTTGTTTAATGTTCTTCTTTCTGATAAGCAAATATGTTAGCATGTTGCGACATTCTCATGATTTTTTCATTATTGGATACCTTTAAGATAAAAATGCATGTTCCCATATTTGAGTTACTATAATGTATGCTATACACTTACAAAATAAAATTCTCGACTCTTTTTTTTTTCATGGCTAGGAAACATCACGTACGATTTTCATTCTTTAAAAATCTACTTAATGCATTGAATTCTGTTACAAGTATATGTAACATATGCGTTGACAACGTGATAAAAAAAAATGTATAGGATTACAATAAATAGGATACAATTTTTACATTGGGCATCCTATTAAGAAAAAACATTTAAAGATTATGATAATTAAAAGTACTTATAATTATATATATATTTTTATACTTAATGTGGATAATCCTTGCCTATGAGTATGAAATTATTGAAATCCCTTGTAAATGACAAAATTATCAGCATCCTAAAAATCCAATCGCGGATTGCATGTCCACATAATAAAGGATAAACTATAGTTCATAACGTTTCTAATAGAGTGCTTTACCAATATTTTCCCCCAAGTTATAATGACACAGAAAGATTGTCATAACGACAAAGCCTGGGAAATTTTGTTAGTTAAAAAGATATGACGGAGTTCTGATATGCCCATACAAATTAAAAGATCAGTAGCTTTCACTTTTGTTTAGCACTAGGAACACTAATTAAGAACATGCTTTTCTGAAATGCCCCTCGAACAAAGTTTTGGGTAGTTAAGTTTATATAGTACATGTATTATATCTTTTGGAGGAAAATTATCGTAAATTGTGTATCCGATAACAGACAATCTTGAATTGTATATTTACAAATACAAGTTTTCCTATGCTGAAATAAGCGTATAAATTTGTAACATTCAAAATGTAACAAATATTGTAACATTTTCAATGTAGAATGAAGAATTTTTTTTTTATTATTACTGCTGTTGTCATTATTTTCTTTTCTTAATGTTTCTCTTCAAAAATGAATATAAATTTTTCATTAATGAGTGCAAATATGAAAATGAAAGCAATGGTTTTAAAATTTAAGAACGTAAAATATCTCTGTAGTTTTGACATCCATTGAATTTCGCTTAATTTTCAACAAAAAATAGAAGTAAAAAAATGAGGACGATAATCGATACAGTTAAGATGATAATCAAAACATTTAGGACAGTAAAAATTGAAGATTTGTAGAAGTTTTCCCAACTTTTTTTCTTTCTTTTTCAGGTATACATGTATATAATTTTTTTTCATCTTTCAAACAAAGCTATAAAAAAATAATTTCTAATCAGTAACACCAAAAAATGCAGATACCAAAAAGAAAATTACCGGAAGTATGTCTCTTGTATAGAATATATTTAATATTTAATGTTTAAATATATATCATGTAAGTCATTTTACGGTAATATTGTAATTTATTGCAATCATGTCTTTATAACTATACTACATGAGAAAATTTTAACTAGATAATCAAATTTTTATTGCAAAAATTCTCAATTATGCTAAACAAACACGTTCTAAGTCTCTTAAGGAACGATAAATAGGAAACCACATGGCGTGGCAATGAAATATAGCTAAATGTGTCTGTAAATGGTGGGGTGAGAAAAGCATCAATGTGTTTTCCGCATATTTTCAAGTTTCCTCATTTCAAGTTATAGCATAAATCTTTCATTCACTTTTATGATTTAACATATGTAAATTTTCTTTGAGTCAATTTACCAAAAGAAAGGGAAATCACCTTTTTGAAGAGAGATTCGGTTATTTCTTGTGTCAAAAATAGCATCACAAATTATTTATTATAATCTTACATTGAACAGATAAAGATGCCCAAATCAAATGTTATTTAGTGTTTCTTACTTCGCAAAATGAATGAATATAGACAAACGAACAAACAAACAACAAATGTCACGTTCGATACACATGATTCAAATACAATGAAATATTCTGTTACGGTGTATAATCTCCTTCTCATTTTTTTCTCTTTCAGATATGCGTGCAAATCCTAGAGTATGTTTTTAAAATTTTCTTATTAATTAGCAGGAGGAATTCATTTTCATCGAGAACTATGAAGGTGACAAAGTGTAAAAAGTCTTTGTCGTTTCGTGTGGTACTAACTTAATTTCCGAGATTTCACTTAACTTATTAAGGAATTAAGAAGGCTATTCTGTTATCCCATAAAGTAAGTGTTTCATTTCCGGAACTGCATTGAAAGAGCCAGTCGGTACTCCATTGTGAAGAACTTTAACGATCGAACTTTGTGGGCAAAACATCCTAGTACAAATTTAATGTTTCCCTTCACAAATTGCAAAGAATGCAACTGTCTGTAGCACGTGGAACTAAGCGTGAATTATATAACAAATTATACGTAACTGAATGAAAACTATAATCATTGCACAAAGTAAAAATAACGATAGTCTAGATGACTCGGTATTGGTACTGATGGGTATATCATTGACCTTTGACCTTCTCCGTTAGAATAAATCCGCTTCCCGTCTTTTATTAGCAATGTCACGTCTGCTTTTTTGGCAGTGTTTATACACGTTTGTTCCTGAATTTGTCGCCGTTTTGTCTTGTAACGTCTGTTTTGAAACCATATTTTTATCTGTGTCTCTGTCAGTTTCAAGGTATTGGCTAAATCGGTCCTTTCAGGGCCGGACAAGTAGCGCTGGTGCCGAAAACGCCGCTCCAACTCGAAAACTTGCGCATGCGAAAACGCTGCTCTTGATCTTTTCTTTCTTGGTTTACATGGTAGGATCTGTTTTATTTGTACTTCGTCCAGTCTGTCACTCTCTTCTAAAATTATAAACATATTGGTTTTCTGATTGTGGTAATTGTTATTGCCAGTAACTTAATTATAAGTATCTTCACATTTTGTATTTTTCTTACTAAAAAAGGAAAAGAAAAATCCTAATTATCTAGTTCATTCTATGAGGAAGAAAACAGAAAAAGAAGAAAATAAGCTACTTTTAAGAATGTAAGATATGTAACTTACGGTTTTGTAAAGCATCTTGGTTAGATTCTGTCTCTTGAGATACTTTCCTGGGGAGTTCAACATCTGATGTCCAAACAGAAGTAACGTGTGACATTGTGGACACTTCTGAATCCGAATCCGTACCCTCCACATCTACACAGTCTGCAGGCTCAGGACTCGCAGAACTCAGGCGTAGATCCGAAATTTCGCTGAAGGACATTTCATCACTTTTCTCTTCCTTCTTTTTAGGCTTAGAAAATACACTTCCACTTAGAATATTTTCAATCGTAAAAGGCGTATTTTGAAGTCCTTGCATTTTTCAGAAGAATGAATTTGAACCACAGCAAAAATTTACACTAAGTCTGTTAATTTTCTAATATTGTTCCAAGGTACTTTAGAAGTAAATTGTGTATTGCATATTTATTTTCAGAAATAGCCATGACCGCGCCCCCTCGCTTTATCTGTTTTCTGATTGGCTCCACGATCCACTAAAAGGGATTTATATAACGTTAGAGATAAGATGGAATGTAATCGAAATCCAGAAGGGTGAAAAAGTTTCAAAACGTCAAGATTATATGCCTTTTCTCCTTCGCAGACGGTTAGGGATCACAAATGTTCAACATTTCCCTTCTGGTGGAAAACTAAAATAAATATAAATCATTTGATGATCGTGGGATGAAAGTCGGAAAACAGACAAGCAGGTTTTTAATAAAGTGAGGGTATAATTTACAAGAACAATTTGTAATGGATTAATAAGTGTTGATTAAAGTCCTAATCCTTCAGGGTTAATTTGTTTACAATTTGTAGAGATTGTTCGACAACAGGCGCAGCATGTGATATAAACAATTTATCTTGGAAACAATTTACAGAATTTCTGTGTGTATATTTCTAACTTGCAATAATGAAGATATCTCGACAAACTTTCAATCCCATTTCTCTAAGTGTTGTTTGGACAAATTAGCGGCCGTCGCTTTTCCTGTTTTAAAAACTTCTTCGAAAAATAAAACTATGATGGTTATCAGGTTTTCTCTTTGGGTGAAGATACTATAAGGGGTTGTCAGTACACATGTCACTTTGATAGACGTATAAACGAGTCAATTCCAAATGGCGAGTGCCGTGTTTCAATGTCAAAAGATTATCATCAAATAAGTGGGAGGTCAGCTCGGGGTCCCGAACCTTTCCCGACGAATTCCGAACTCTCAGACATGCAGGATCAGAGAGAGGTCCGTGGAATCAGATAAGAACTGTAGTGATTCTATAACAGGCACTTGTCGCTTTTATTTTAAGTATTTATCTGTAAGAGCACACATTAGAGCCAAGGTATTATGTAATACGGACCGAACTTAATGTGCCAAAGTCCTATTATTTTCATATCTTATAAATTAATAAATTGCAGAAGTCATGAAAATTCAGTCATGATATTTAGATTTTTTTTGTGTCAAACATGATCCTATAGCTACATATTAATCTATATAGGGCATTATTTTGATTTACTTTGAAGTTGATTATCTTTGAATGAAATGAATAAATCAATTTATAAATTTTAGACGTACTTCTGAATTTGATAATACAAACCTCAGAACTTTATTTTCAACTCTAATTCAATCATCTATGTGATGCTATGTAAAATTTTCTTTAATCGAGTCAAGTGATTAAAAACCTTTATGTATTAAAATGTTTATTGTTTTATTTTCAAAATTTCCCGTTTTCAAAATGTGAACAAATCAAGTAGCTTAAACTCAAGATCGCAGATTATCATTTATAAACCAATAAATTTGTTTTAATGGTGACATCTAATGCCCTTTGTTCGTATCAGCGGAAGGGAAGGATCCCCCCATTTGTGAGTATTCAGTACAGAATTTTATTTACATCGGGTTTGTTATCACATGATTACGACACGAGGAAGGTAGTGGATTTCATCTTACTTTAACCAGATGCAGATTACATGGACCTTTTGGTGATTTTTATTTTGCTAATCAACAACTCTAATTACATTGAGTAGGCAAATAATCGCTTAAGCGTCAATTAAGCCTGTGAAGCTGTTAATTGTGACGGCTTTAATGGAAGCTGAACAATTTCCAGATAAGGGCGAGTTCAGATTAATAAAAGTAAAATGTTTTAGGCATAGTGTAGCTTTTGATATACTCAACACTTGGAAATCTTTAGTCGTCAGCCATTGCTTTTTTTATAGTATGTTTCAATTCATACTTAGGCCAAATAAAAAAATATGTGTGGTTCCGGTTACCCGACCTTCCCTATTTTATACCTCCCGACCCTAAACTTTTTTTGGGCAATTTTCATATTTTTTCTGGAATTTTCCCCGATTTCCATCAATGGCTCCGGTTTAAGTTTTAGTTTCAGCAATGACGGCCTCCTTGCAAAACATAGTGCAAGTGTTTAATAGTATTAAGTCCAAAGCGAGCTAGCATGTAGGTGTCCCCTACCAATATTGACTAGTATATTATCACATCACATCTAAATGCCACTTGCAAAGCAGTGTTAGGTAGGCTATTATTTAAAAAAAATTAAGAAAATCATTTTGTTAAAAAAAAAAAAAAAAAAAAAATTCCCTACCTACCTACCCAAATTTTTTTGGAAGTGTAACCGGAACCACACATATTTTTTTTGTTTGGCCTTATATAAAGAATAAATGGGATTGGCGTTGCAGATTTTTTTCGTAAGAAAAAACCTCACACTTTTTCGACAGAATTTTTTTTAATCACCCTTGATACTACGTGCCTCTGGATTAAATTGAAAGTATATTACAAACAAAATGTACAAAAGCGAAAAAAAACACGTATTTCTTTTACATTTCTGTTTCGTTATGTACACTTACATGTATATATATGTTCATAATGCGAGCACTAGAGACTGCTAAGAATTTATAAAACAACACAAGAGACAAATACAGTTATTTTATTATGTAACTTAAATTTGATTTTCAGTAAAACCATAGGAGAACAAAGACAAAAATATTCAAAAACAAGTCTAAAACATATATATCCTCTATGCTTAGTTAACTTGATCCCCACTTAAATTCGCCCTGGAAGACAAACGTCTTGGAGGTCTATCAGAAAAACCTAGCTGGTGTAGTTTCAATATTGGCGGAATTAAAATTTCCAATATTTTGTCATCATTTGGATCAAATGGGATTGCTATGAGGACTGAATTGCTTAAAAGCACCTGTAAATATTTAGATTAATCTCAGTGTCAACACTTCTTTGTTACTCTTAGATTAAAAATTTCGAAAAGGTATCAATTAAAATATATTCTGCTTTCTATTTAAGGCTTTGTCATATTAAGGGTTAGTAAAATCAATCTGTTTTCACTTTTGCATTAAGCAGATGTTCTGTTAATTTGGGAACATACCTCTATCACTACTTGTAAATCACCCTCTCTTGTTTTATTCTACTCGTGTATTAAGAATTACTCTGTTGTTCTGATAATCATTTAAAAGAACTCCAAGACTGTAGAATATTGCTTTGTTTTAGTATCATAAACAAATTTTAAATGGATATATGACCTGCAAGATTTTTTTTCAGCACAACATTATCATGATTGTACAATAGATTTGATCAATGAAAAAAAAAGAAGATTGTGAAACACTGATGCCACCATACAGCATTCCATGGCGAGGGTTAGTTTCTCAAATGCAAATCAAACTCCAAGGTCAACAGATCAAAAATGTTGGAACCCAAAGAAATTTAAAGGTCTTGTCACAAGGAATACACCTGTGAAAGATGAAAGCCCTAGCACCATCCATTAATAAGTTATGGCCAAGGTTAAAGTTTTTCAAAATAGGTCAAACTCCAAGGTCAAAGATCAAAATTAATGGTGCACACAGAAAGATCTTGTCGCAAGGAATATACATGTGAAATATGAAAGCCCTAGCGTCAATCATTCAAAAGTATGTCAAACTCCAAAGTCAAGGACAAAAAAAAATCAAAATCAAAACTATTGGTACCTTAGGGAAGGACTTACTACAAGAAATAAACGTGAAATATGAAAGCCTTGGCGGCAACTGTTCAAAAATTATGATCAAGGTTTAAGTTTTCATAAAGTTGGTCAAACTCCAAGGTCAAGGTCAAAATTAATCAAAATTGTTGGTACCCAAAGGAAGGTCTTGCTACAAGGAATATACATATGAAATATAAAAGCTCTTGAACCAATTGTTCAAAAAGTTATGGCCAAGGTTAACGTTTTTCAAAAGTAGGTCAAACTCGAGGGTCAAAAATTGTTGGTACCCAAAGGGAAATCTTGTCACAAGAAATACACATGTGAAATATGTTTGTTTGTTTGTATGTTGTTTAACGTCCCTCTCGAGAATTTTCACTCATATGGAGACGCCACCACTTGCCGGCGGAGAGCTGCAAATTTTGTCCAATACTCGGCACTTACGGCCATTGATCAGTGAGGGATTTTTATCGTGCCAGCACCTACTGCGACACGGGACCTCGGTTTATACGGTCTCATCCGAGGACCGGTCTCCACGTCCCACAGTGGGATTCGAACCCGCGACGTAAGGATCAACTCCTTACACCGCGACTCTAGAGCAGACGCTCTAGCACCAACTGTTCAAAAGTAACGGCCAAGGTTAAAGTTTTCCAAAAGTAGGTCAAACTACAAAGTCAAGGTCAAAAGGACAAAATTGTTGGTATACAAAGGAAGGTATTGCCACAAGGAATATAAATGTGAAATATAACTTGCACAAATTGTTCAAAAGTTACGGCCAAGGTTAAAGTTTGGTAAAATTTTGCAAAAGTGGGTCAAACTCCAAGGTCAAAAGGTCAAATATATCGGTACCCAAAGAAATGCCTTGTCACAAGGAATGCATGTGTGAAATATGAAAGCCATAGCTCCAACCAATCGAAAGTTATGAGCAAGATCCTCTGCGGACAAACAGACAGACAGACGGACGGAAAGGGCAAAAACTATATGCCCCCGAATCTTCGATTACGGGGTCATAAAAATACTGTCCATTACTTCTATTTCTTTTTTCACAGAAATGAACTCTGTGCAGAAAATTATATACGCGATTTTTTTAAGCTCATATTCTCTTACAAATAAAACATCTTCCGAGATATTTAATTATCTGCAAGAGCAAGTCTAGCTAAAATAGCTGTTAACCCTTTTGTTTAAACGTGTGTCTTAGTAAAACTATTCGAAGTTTACTTTGAGATTAAAGGAACAAGGATATACGTACCCATCCGATGATTCATGTATGAAACTTCAACAGACTACTTGGGGTATTACTGTGGGGGCTATCAACTCAAAGCTATCCCACGAGCGCCTACCCTAGGTGGCGGATCATTATAAGCGTCAAGGTCATACACCAGGTCAACAGACGTCATTTGTCATTTACTCTCAAAGAATGTGTTTGTAAAATAAAGAATCGTGGATTATGTAGAAGGAGAAGCTCTAAATCGTTAATATGTCTACAAACAAGTCATTGGTGATTGTATAAAGATACGAATTATTACGAGGTACTGTCTATAGTTTTCATTTTGTAGAACCTGACAGGTATTTCTAAAACTCTAGTTAGTTATATATTTATCATGTAATTAATGTATGTTTAAAACAAACATGTTTGTATATCAATATTTTTTTTTCTATATATAGACCTTGACAGTTGTAGCCATTTATGGTGAGAACCTCGTAAGTTGTTAGAACTTGTGTTCAAACCATTTGTATATCATTTATACAATAAAATATGTTCAAACCACAGGTATTTTTACCATATATTTCATCTTCTTAAATATAGTACGTTCACATTTATTTATTTTTTTGTATAGTCATTGATTTTTTAATGGAATATATTAAGGTTAAAAATATATAAACTCCATTCTTATTTTTTATCCTGTAGTCAAGAAATTTATCATAAAAATCTCAAGGAATGAAGATTAGGAAAATATCCATTGACATGTTATCTCCGTGCGATTTTTCCCTCTGATTCAAAAACAGCACAAGTGGTGCCTTGTTTTACATGACTTTGTGTCACCCAATGCAAGTTCTCTCAACAGGATTCACTAAATATTGGGGTTTGAAGCATGTAGTTTAAAATGTTATAATATTGCTTTTTTGTGACGGAACAGATTTAAAAAAAAAATAAGAATAAGAAAATTATGGAACGATAACTTAAATTTTGATGTATCATTATACTTAAAAGGTAACTTGAAATTAAATCGTTTTGTGCAACAAATTTTATTTTATGCTTCTAAATATATTTATTTTATTTTTTAATCTCTTAAAGCTATTTCTATGCAGGAAAAATTCAAAATTATACGAGGAACACAAGGCATTTTGAAAGAAACCTTGTAAATTTCCCTAAAAGCTTCCTTCCATACCATTCAATGTTTGCATCGAACATATATCTTGTGAGATGTGTTAAATTGCAAAGATAGATATATGTAGTTTCAATTTGAAGCTATTTTCAACCCAAAATATTATTGAAAAGCACATACTCAGTATGTTTTTTAAATCAACTTAAAACCAAAATATGAACAAAATATGCAACTTTTAATTTTGTAAGACCAATTTTATCCCTTGAAAGATATTAATTATGTTGATGAATTGCACCAAAAAAAATAATAAAAAAATTATATATATATATATATATATATATATATATATATATATATATATATATATATATATATATATATATATATATATATATATATATATATATATATATATAGATAGATAGATATAGATAGATAGATAGATAGATTAGATAGATATATATATATATATATATATATATATATATATATATATATATATATATATATATATATATATACTACTACTACTTTTTAAAATAACAATTAGAAGTATGGAATCAATTTTCACTGATTATCCGCGAATCGGTAGAGAGCTTGGCTTTGAATACTTTAAACATTATATGGTAGAAAAAATTTCTACTCTGAACCTTTTTTTTTCACTTATTCAATTATCGACGACAATGACTCTTTAAAATCCTGAATTTACCCTTTAATTATGTAATCTTCAGGCGCTTGCGCATTATGTTGTTACATGTACCAGGGAGAGGATCGAATTTTTTTAAAATAAGTTCAGTAAATAAAATTAAAAAAAAAAACAACAACAGAAAAACAGTTAATCGAAGAAAAAAATTCATCTTACATGTAGATATTTGCTAAAACTTAAATCGGCACTTTCTATCAATATGTATATATAGCAAACATTATTCAATGTAATATTCAAGGTTTAACCCTGACCCATAGCGGGATGAGGGGTGGATTAAAATCCCTTTGCTACCGATGTTCCGTGCTTCTAAGAAAGAACAAGCATTTTGTGAGAATTATTCATAAAACTATTTAATAATGTTTATACGTACATATTATTAAAAAAAACATTTTTTTTTTATTTTTTTATTTTTCACATGTAAGTGTGCGCCGTGGTTACAAAACATGTTGATTTTAAAATGAAGTAAATTAATTTCTATTAAATCGAATGGAATGAAATTTCGCAGATCAACAAAACAAATATTTTTACACATCATATTTTGCTTATTTTAAATTTCTTGGAAGTAGTATAACAAAGATTGACATCGTCCACGAACTTTTCGAACAACCCTCGTAATTCATTTATCGTTTTTTTTTCTTTCCAATATCCCTGCTTTTTGCAAATCCTCAAAAGTCGCCACGATTAATGGAAAAAATAATACTCTATTAAAACTTAACTAAGGATACATTACACAAACAAAAATTTGATGCATTCTTGGTATATATTTTTTGACTGATTTTGAATAGAAATGACATTAATAACAAATCCTTAAAATATAAAGAAATCGTAAGTTTTCTTTGGTACTTAGACCATTTTGTGTCGTTTTCTGGTTTGAACATATTTTATTGTAGTTTTTAATTACAAAGGGATTGGGCACAAGTTCTAAAAACTTATTAAGCCCTCTCCCTACATGTAAATGACAAAAATTAAATTAAATCGACAAATTGTCGTTTTCTATGTAATTCTATAAAAATTTGGCACAATTTTTTTATCATTGCAACAAAATCCTACATTCTTTCACTTTACCTGGTAAACATTATTCAGGTTACCTATTTGAATATAACTTTATGAGAAATATTGCTGATTTATGAAATAAAAACTTATTTATCCTTAATATATGTATCATTGTTTTCGGTACACTTTGAAATTGATATTACAAGTACATGTATCTGTATAATTCATTTATACGTCCTCCTCCAAATTTTAGTTTTATTACTTGTAATAATAACTAAATTAAATTTTGGTATGAGATTACTTTTCACATGATTTTAAATTGCATTCCATGAAAATGCTTCATTTTTTACGTAAGTCTTATCGTCAAACAGTCTAATTCAATTAGCCATAAAGTGCGGGGAAAAGCAAGTTTAAATCAATTACGACGTCATAATGGATCTTAAAGACAAGCTTTAAGAATCCAACGTCATGAACAATTATTTGACGTCACAAAGGTTAAACTGCGAATTTCGGGTAAAAGATTCCAGCCTTGGTTAACAAAGCAGGGAAAATGTCAAACAAAAGGAAGATTTTTTATTTTGGTGGCGCAGATGCTCTTTTGACTGGTGTCACCACTCACAAGCTTGTGGATTACATTTACTGGTAAATATATACATGTACTAGTATTTTAAGAATGAAATGGAGTTAATTCCAAGAAAACAAACAATCCTGAAACAAAATTGAAAAGAGTGATAGATATTTATTTCAAAACTTTTTTTTGTTTAGTATCTTAGAACTTAGTTAAAGAAAATAATTAACAGCTGATTTTCTCATTTTTATTTGCAGTCGGGAACCCGATCAGTCATTCCTGGAGACAATTCTTCAAACTCTTGGCCTGCGAAGAGTTCCTGAATCTGTGTGCCCCACGTCTTGTGGAGTCATTCTGGTATAGTGTTCGGCATTTCATTCACTTAATTCAAGTTTAGGACAATTAGTTACAAATGTCATCAGAATCTGGATTTCAAATAATATGTTACTTTTCTTCCTCATACTTTTTTCGAGAATACAATGAAAGAAAATAAATTTTAGGGAAAAACTGCAAAATATCATCAATTTTTACACATTTCTGCAGTGGTTTTGCAGTGCTATTTTATAGAAATATTCTTATTGGAGGTTTTATTTTAGATTGTTTTCGGATGGATTGTACTACAGATAATTGTTGTAATTTTCTACAGAAAGAACAGCGTGCTGAGCGTAAGTATTCTACGTATAGGATTTTACTCATGAATATTTTAATTCTGTAGCTTAAGTGTAGTACGAGGGGCATTTGAAAAGTTCTGAGAACAGTTTGATAAAATATTAACCTTTTAATGGAAATTACTGAATATGCTATTATTGGACAGAAAACAAAAATATACACATATTGTGACGTTACTTTGTAATTTTTATTACGTAATAACTCCGAAAATGACGTCAGAATCTCTAATGTCTAGCATACTTACCATAAAAATGACGTAACAAGATACGCAATTTCAGTGAAGTAAAATTCTAAAGTCAACTTTTGTTCATTACTCGGATGCAAGCTAACAGATACAACTGCCAGTTGGAAAAATGTCTATCATATGAAGTTATATTCAGGGGCTCCTATAGTTCTGAGATGGTTTAAGAGTGTGTCAAACATAGCATGTTATTATCGAATCGCGCGCAAAACATTGGGTAAAAAAAACGCTAAAGTGAGAAAATCACAAAGTTGACAATAACAGGAGAATAGTGGACGGTGTTACAGAGTTTGCTGGCATTAATTCGTCAGGTGTTTTGACCAATTTTGCGGGAACGATTAAAGCTCAAGAGAGGTTAAGCGAAGGGTGTCCTATATTTTCTCGTAAAAATCAAAATGGCGCCGGTGTAGTTCTGACCTCACCGTAACTCGATATGTTCGAAAATTTTAAATCATGGAAAATAAATAAGATTGTACATGGCAATGAAACTCAGAATTATTTTTTATTTTTTATTTTTTTGAGTCGAAAGTCAAAAGCAATTGTGAGTTTTGGATCGCCGAAGTTGAAATACTGTGAAAAAAATATGCACAGAAACAAGTCCAGGGGAAGACTTTTGTACGTCCTATTCGTAAACGGTAAGAGTCCTGATACTCAAGATACATTTGTGGAAAACTGCATTGTTACACTTCAGTTTTATATAGAATATCTTTTATTTAATATAGGGGAGAACTATATATTAAATAGATCGAAAATCCATCTATATCATATAAATAAAAATCTTTTATGAACGCCATAGATAAAATTACCGTGCTTATTAACCAAGCAAAAAATGAGATATGGAATTGCTGATTTACCGTACCATCGTTACAGTCTTTCTCTACATCCATGCAAATTTTCTTTGAAATATCCTTTCAAAGAAGCCTTTGACAGCACTTTTTCGATGTTCTCATATGGACAAAAAACGCGACTTTTCAGTATGCTAAACATTCGAGATTCTGACGTCATTTTTGGAGTTATTACGTCATAAATATAAGAAAGTGACGTCAATATAAGTGCAAATTTTCCAGCTCTTTTCAATGGTATCAAACTTATAAACTTCCGTGAAATGGTTAATATTTTAGCAAGCAGTTCTCAGAACTTTTCAAATGCCCCTCGTACTTTAATATTCTGATAAAAAATGTTAGGCAGCAGTGTATAACATAAAACTTAGTTGCATGATCTGGGTTTTAGAACCACAAGGAGAAGGGACATGGTGGAGCCCAGTTCTGTTTTTAACTAAAAATTTTACCGAGTTTGTGAGCGATTAAATAAAAAATAGCATGCACCCTTAAAATTACCCATGTTTTTTACACTTGTTTAAAAAAAATAACTTGATTGCTAAAGTATTACCTCATCGCTCTTGAAGAAATTTAAAGGTTGATTTATGTTATTTATGTATTTGTTTATTTATTGATTTCAGGACACAGTGGTTCGGAATTTACAACATTCCAAGTCAAATACAAGTAGTGTAACTGTTGTTTCGCCCTTTGATGCAAATGGTGCCTCTGAAAAAGTTAGAACCTGTGTTTCAGAAGGAGAGATTTATGAAAATGAATCTGTAGACATTGTCTGTGTGAAAAATAATGTGATCGATCTGTCCTCTTCATCTCATACTGCAGGATATGCATCAGATGACCGCAACACTGAAACTGTTTTGGAAGTTGAATCTTCGTGGATAGAATCGGCGAGAGAAACTTCAAATGTATCTGTCAGCAATATCGTCATTGAGAATGGTACATTTGAAACATCAGAGAAAGATTCAGACTCTATCCAAGAGAAAGACATTCTTACTGAATCAATTCAGGCTTCAATCACAAAAGATGTTGTGGAAGAAATGGAAGATAAAGTATTCGATTCCTCTGGTGCATTACAGCAAAATCCAACTGTCTGGAGTCAATACATAGAAGAAAATTCCGAGGATAGTGATGATAATGTGGAGTATGCTTCAGATTTTGCCGAAGGATCCACAGAATCCGACGAGGAGGTCTTATGGATTCCAACAAAGACTAGTGCAGATGAGGGTAGTCCTAATGAAAAAGGTAAATCAGAATGGAGTCAACCTGAATTGCATTGTTTGGATGTCAGATCTGTCAAAGAAGGCAGGGAAACCTTGATTGAGAGCGTTGAGAAGGGAACCATGCAGCCCGAGAACATTGGGACATTGCGAAGATTAGAGGAAACAAGTGTCAATGTGTCTTGCCAAAATCCTACAGAGAACAACCTGTTGTTAGATGTGCAATTGGTGGAGAACAAAGGCGAAACTCGAAGTTTTCCCAGTATGAGAAATGATTCTGATTTTGGATACACATCGGATATTTCTGATGATGATATTGCTCATGCATCTGAAGACAGTGGAAGTGAAACAGATGCCGAGGTGGAAGCTATATGGCTTTCTTCTCTTGCTGTCGAGGGTAACACAGAGTCATCTTCACCACCACACAAAGATGAGGATGAATGTAAAGATATTATTCATGAAGTTGTTGCTGACTCCAAAAGACCTGCGATAGAAAACATGGATACTGATCTGGGAGATGAGATACAACTATCGATTCCATCCTCTGAGAGTGCATTAGAATTCACAGAATCTTCCTTTTCCAATGGTGTCGACTCTACCAGGAAAGAATCATTACAGCAAATTTTTACGGAGGATATCGATCCCGATGATGAATACTTGGTTCGTTGTGAAGAATCGGATGAATCCGAAGATGAAACTGATGTGTTGAACCAAGGGCGAAGACTTCCAACATTAGATGATGATTTTGAAGATCTATTAAGTGCACCATTTGAGAGCCCTTCTCAAACTGATCCAAACTTAGATCTATTTAAGAATGTACCAAAATGTGTTGGGTGCGGAAGTTACTTTGCTACATGGCGACTTAAAAATTGTGCAGCTTGTCGCAAACCTCCTAGGCATCCTAATATATGCTCAATTAAGAAGAATAAAAATCGTTGTTAGTTTATAAGGTATTTGCAATTTTAATTTTAAAACGATTCTGCCATGGTCGAAAGCGTCGCAATTGATTATATTAAACATGTTTTGTATGCATGAAATCATATCCTCGATTTCCCAAAATAAATTTTATGTTGCCTTTCCTTGAAGTTTAAATAAACAATTTTACTTTTGAAAATTTCTTCATGTTAATACTTTAATTAACATTGCACTGGTGAGAGAGTTTCTAGAGCAGTCCATTTGAGTGTACATTAAATAATCAAAGTACTGATACGAGTTGACGGTCTTTCCAACCTCATCTGATGTTCGTGTCATCTTTATATGATTGTCAAAAGTATGATCTTTATGATGACAAAATACAATAAATCTGTTTAGAGAAAAAAATTAGTTTTTCCAAGGTATTCTAATGCCCAGTTCCTTGTTTATGAGACAATTTATGTAAAGTATTATATTTAGCGTGTTCTATATTTTGCAGATATTGATTTTTCATACAAGTTAGCATAGGTAGATCTGATTTAGCGCATTCCTGAATGTATATATATATTCATAGATATTTAGCAGAAGATGCTCTCTACCAAAAAGGTAATATATATGATACACATGCAGCCACAAGTAATACGTGTAACAGTCTATATAAATCTCGTTATTGGCTTTTGCTAATAATCATGGATACATGTATGTGATATGAAAAGAAAAACAATTATAGAAACGCTTTGCGACTGTGAATGGTACTCACTCTCATAAAAAAGTAATATAGCTAAGACAAGAGACCCAAGGGCTTTTATCGGTCATCTGAGTAAAATACAACCCTGAAAACGATTCACAAAATGGCAATTTAATGATTTTTTGATACTTTTAGAAGAGGATATGAGTCCATGGGTAAAGAAACCATGCACGTTTCTTTACCGAAATATATTATAATAATATAAAGTTTTCTTTTGATAATTATTACCTTACATGTAACTTTCGAACATCATTTATTTATGAGTATATGTGAGAATGTAGGTAATTAACTTACAAAACAGCTGTTTAAAGTGAAATATCACGAGCACACATCTTGTTTCCTTGTTATAAATACCTCAACAATTGTCTTTGCTAATGTGGAGACAGACACTTATTCAACGAAGCTTGTAACAAGCACTTTGAACAGAAAAAAACAACAAAGAAACAGTACTGGATTCCAAATCTCTCTAGAGAGAAACTTCTTGCATTCTTAATGGTGACCAACTTCACTTGAACATTATTGCCCTCGATCTTTACCGTTTCTGTGATCCTGTTCAGTGTATGTACATGTATTCCAGAATTCTCACTTTTTTAATTGCATATCTGGTCAATCAACTTGATAAGTTCTTCACTTGCTGTGTTTGTATGGTTTATTTTTTTAATCCATTCCAGCATTTACAATGTTTTTTACTCACGAACAATTATAATTCATAATTTTTATTTTCCTCAAACAAATTTAAAATATTATCATTTATCCAATGTCGCACGCGTGGCGCAGTGGTTAGAGCGTCTGCTCTAGAGTCGCAAAGTAAGGAGCTGATCCATTAGGGCTGTCACGGTTCCAAAATTTTTCGGGTCGGGTCGGTTCTGTAAATTTTCGGTTCGGTTTCGGGTTTTTCGGTTCGGTTATTTACGTCTATTTTAAACCTTAATTTCAGGAATTTAACTTGAAAAATCTTTATTTGTTACATTAAAATATATTTAAAAAAAGACTTAACCGTGCGAACGTCTAGACATCGGTGTGTAGAACTACTTGGCCTAATATTAGCCACAACCTGACAATTCCTGCTCGTTTTGATAATTATCTAATACTTCTGTGACAAGTGTTTTGTCATGGAATGAAGTAGATTTCAGTTGTGATGTTTATTTATCACTGAACATTATCGTCATCATTCCTTCGATTTCGACGCCATTTTTTTGTATTGAACAGACTCTTATATATAAACCAGACCCGAACCGAAATCCGGAAAAATGGAACCGAACCGAACAACTTGGACCGCGGTTCTCGGTTATTTCGGGTACTCGTGACAGCCCTATGATCCATACGTCGCGGGTTCGAATCCACTGCGGGACGTGGAGACCCGTCCTTCGGATGAGACCGTATAATCGAGGTCCCGTGTCGCAGTAGGTGTTGGCACGAAAAAGATCCCTCACTGCTCGACTTAGACTTGGCCTATCATATTTTTGCAAAAACCCTGACATCATAACTTACTAATACCGGTATATCTTGCTTATATATGTATTACCATTATACGTCTCCGTGATCACTTCAAATGTCTTTAACCATGTTGATCTCCGTGTCGAATTTCCGTTTCAAGTCTGTTTTTCACAATTTGTTATATAATACCCTGACGCGTTTGAATATTTAGAAATAGTTCGTGACTTGGGTATCCCCATTTGTTCTAAGAATAACACAAAACTTTTAAGAATAACTCAATAATCTTCAGTGTTGGACAAATTTAAAAAAAAATGACATAAAGTGACACTGCCTATATGCATTTAACAGACACCTGAAAAGTGACGAAATAAACAAATTTTTGAAGCAATTTTCAATGCACTAATTTTTTGTCGGACCACAACTATTTAAGAATTCAACAAAAACAGATATTTAATTAAGGAATAACTGTCTAATTTTTTGGATTCATGATGTGATCAATCGAGTGGCTTGCGTGATAATTTGCATAAACGCCGAAGGCGTTTATGCATAAAATTATCACGCAAGCCAATCGATTGATCATCGTCATGAATCCAAAAAATCTGACAGTTATTCCTTATATTTACATGCTCCTGATTCTGCAAATTCCCATGCTAATAGCCCCGCTTCTGTCTCTATTTGTCCCGCCCCGCACGTGATTTTTTTAACCGCGCCTATCGATGAACCAGTAGATTTATGTAGAAATAAAGTATTTTTACAATTTGTAATTTTATCTCGGACAAAGACATTGGAAATGTAAATATTACCTAATACAGTTTCGTTTTTGAAACGAGACAGTGAAATAACATAAGTTGCCAAATTGAGTTTGCTTTCAATGATATAGGACTTTTCAAATTGCAAGTCAAATTGTTGTAGCTAGGGTTGAATATATGAGGTGTGTTCTTTGACGTGATGCAAGAAACAGCTGAGCAACAGCATATTACTGAGTTCATGTTCCATCAAATCTTAAAATGGCAATAAGTGCCAAGAAAGTGTACATGCATTTTTGTCATTGGTGACAAAATGGTTACATTGTTTGTAGAGCGATAGTCTATGCAGGCACACGTAAAGTCATGTATATTCTCTTGAGGTAACACATAAATATTCATTTAAATGATATATCAGCTATGCTTTTGTTCGTAACACATAAATACATGTATGCATCAATCAGCTAAATGTTCGATAACCCATGTTTGTATTCGATCAGCAGGTTTCCTGGAGCGAGTAAGTGTTCTTTAAGTATAAACAAACGCTGACTGATCTTACTTGCTCAATGTTTGGTTACTCGGACAGCGGACAGATGGGTACCCCTTCCCTTTTTTAAGAATGTCTTTGTGAAAAATATAAAAATACTGGGGGGGGGGGGAAAGATTCTTTTAACTACACAATTTTTCTCAATTCCCTAAATATGCCATGTTTACATAACATGGTCAATTTTCATTTTATATCTCCTTGGAAATTTGCAATGACCAAAGAGATATTATAAACGAGTATTTTGTACATGCAGTTATCATATTGTAATTTTTTAATTAAGCGGGAGGAGTAACAGAGCTGAGTAAATACAAAAATTACAATATGGCACAATACCTGTGAGGTCGAATTCTCGCGCTGGCAGGTATAAAGTACACTACACGAAATTGCTCAGGCACCATCCACAGGCACTTGTTTCGTACATGGGGTCACCCTTCTTTACTCAATTTCAAACACCCCAACTTCAAACTCGTGTTTTATTAACTATCAATCATTAACCTACTTTAACAAGACATGGTAGGCTTTGAGATTTTCTTTTCTTTTCTAATGTTCCAGACGTCCTTCTTCGAGCCTCTTTATTGTAAACCACTCATTTATTCCTCGAATATTACCTCAACACATTTTAAGACTTTACAGAGGATACATCATCTTCTGGTTATGCTTACAGTATAGGATAAAACTAGAAAGTTCAGAATGAAATGCTCTAAGTCTCTGGTCTTATCGTACTCTGTAAGCATAACCGGAAGTTGATGTAAAGTCTTAAAATGTGTTGAGACAATTTAACAAACGAGTTGATAGACTCAAATAGTTATTTTGTCTTCCAACAGTTCTCTAAATACATACTTTCTGTAAAATATTTCTTTCATTTATTGTAAAAACGGGAAAAGTGCAGGTAGATCTTCAGGTATATAATCTGACTATAATTACTTTGAAAACGATAAATATGCAGGCGTGAAGCGTTGTAGTTCATGTATCTCATGAATTTTCAAAAATTAAATTCATATCTTATATAAACATCATTTATGTGAGTTGCTATTTATACCATTTAACAAAACGGTTTGCACTATAGCTTTGGCGTTTAAGTGTATAAAGAAGCAAAAGTGTCTGTACCTGGCAGTTCGCTATAAGCGTGTTCTTATCAATGGTAGTTTATGAGAAAATGAACTGTTTTCTAATTTATAAAGGAAAATTATTGGAAATGTAAATCTTTAAGAATACAAATATACGCGAGAATGAGCTTTTCACGAGATAGCACTAACAAACAGGTTAATTTGGAATGATATTTTATTTCAAAGCTTGTTTGTCTAAGAATGACCTCTTGTACTTATATTTTTAAATACATGTATTCGATGTTATTGGTAACAAGAAACCAAATTAAATATTATTTAATAAAAAGCAGACAGGTTTCCTAGCAGGTCATTCAACAGTGATATAATTTCTTATATGCTTCTGTATCGTCAAAAGTACAGTCATGTTATGATGAACGTATATTATGTATTTTCTTTGCGACCTCTCAAAGACCTTTGTAAGAGTATGACAAGGGGATATCCCTTTCAAAAAAGGATTGAATAGGAATTAAATTTGTTGTATATTTTACCATTTGATAATGGAAAAGTTTATATTATGTCAGGCCGACACACTAATACTGGTGTTTTATTAATAATACCTGTTCTATTAATAATACCTGTTCCTAATTTATGACTATGAAGTTCTAAAAAGTACCTGTATATCGTTTTGTAGATTTATTACTTGTGTTTGCTGACAATAATTTGTGCATCTGTTTTAATAATAAAGCAAATATATCAATGTAACATAATCCACGAGAAAAAATGTTCTAGATCGATGGTCTTGTTCTGCATATCGAAAGTTGAATTTTTTACACTAAAAATAACTATATGTTTGATCTTCCAAGATTCTTACAGAGCCAGTACAGTACTCGTACGTATGAGTATTGTTTCTCACTGGTTTGATCTTATCACGTGATCTTAGCTGTTCCATGTGACATTTACGCGTGAACACCAATTGAGAAACTTCTGATTAAAGAAACCTTAATAAAATCTTTAGTAGACAGTTTTTTTTTTCAAATGTGCACCTTCATCAGATCGATGCTACATGTATTTATATCTTTGTTGTTTTGGCTGGATGTACAAAGAGATAGATTCACTTTATGCATAAAATGGATCAATTACTTACTTGTCACCTAGCAACTTGTCACCTGTTGAAGATCCATTTAATAGAGAACAAGCTTCAAAAAATTGCAATATTCTTGATTGATTTAAAAAAAACTTTTGTTTGAATACATTCAACAAAGGTTTGAAATGCGAGCACAGATCACGATCCAAAAAAAAAAATTGAATATCTGCAATGGAAATTACTAAGAGTTCTATCAATCTCAATAGGTTCATAAACGTTTTGAACAAAGGTTGTGCTCCATTCCAAATATTGAAGAACAATTTTAAATTTTGGCTTTATATTTTGAAAAAATTGAAACGTTAAATTTTTCTGAATTTTTAATGGCTAAAAAAGCTCATTTGTGACCCCTGATGTCTAAAAATATAAAGGTTTTACAGCTTACCAGAGGAATAAAGTTCTGGCCTCCCAATTACAGGATATAGAGATTTTAGTTGATAACTGCATGGGAGGCATTTTCTTTCACATTGTAAATGAATTAAAAACTATGAACATAATTTTTTCATAATATTGTTCCATTTTAATTCAAAACAAGTAATTCCCAGTACATGGGAAATAGAAACTTCTTATAAAACACAGAATAATGAAAATTAAACAATTCTTGATGCAGTCTGGAATTAAGTATTTTAAACACGCAATTGTATCCGCAACAATTAGTATGTGTAAAATATTTTAAACTTTAAAAAAGATTTTTTTAAATAAACTTAATATAGACTTTTCAAAATCATTTTTAGATTGAAAAAAAAAAAAGTTTTATCAATTGCCAGCAGTCATGTTGTGTAGCGTCACGCTATGATTGGACGATTTAAAACCTACCATTAACAAGGTAATATGTCCTGAATGTATCAATTTATTAATAAATTTTACAGGCGACAATTTTAAATGTGTTCCCATTCATCGTTACTTGATTCTATAATTGTTACAAAATCACAGTTCTGAATATATTGATGATATTGTAAACAACGTTATTTTAAAAAAAAAAAAAAACCAAGAGTTTTTGGGGGAAAAAAACTGTTTAAAATTGGTGTGAATAGCTCTTCAAAACTGCATCAACATTTATCAGACATATGCTTGAATTTAATTGTTTGGGATTAATTGCTGAATAAAAATATTCTTGATTACAATTGATATTACACGATATTGGACGAAATCTTACGTTACTCCTAACAACAAGCAACACATCTTTACACAATACTACAAAAAAAGTCAAGATGTTTTTTGTTAAAAGTGTACACCTTCTTCCATTTACAAACTTTTCAATCGATCTTTGTATCAATCTTTGTATCATTCAGTGTGCTTAACCGTTTTCAGATCCCCTGACGTAATGAAACTGACGGCAAATTTACGACTTCTACGCAAACTACCGGCAGATCTAAGGCGATTGTGAGTCGAGTTCTTAAAAGACGATGAATCTTTGAAATCCGAGTCACAAAGAGTAAGATAGGGACTTAGCACAGAGTGGGCACAAAGGAAATACTCAGTCCAGAGGAACGCAGTCTGCGAGATGGATGAGTGTGTGGGATCCACCATATTTGCGATCAGAAATGGCGAAACGCAAACAATCAGAAGTAAAATACGCAGAATGGAGGTGATGTTGATTCTGATGAAGGTGGAGCTTTCTTCGATGTTCTCTAGATGAGTAAGACCAGCTTTAACGATGCTAAAAACGATCCAAATGTGACAAAACACTGTGCAGCAAACGGGAACTATGCTTAAAATTCCAACAGTAATGATTTCATACACAGCTATCTCAACCGCAGAACGATGAAATCCGTGATCAAAGTAGAGATTGATGAACATTACGTTCATCTGAGCAAGGATTGGTAGTACGATGTTCAGCACCCAGAGAATTAACCACAGAGATACCACGATGGACACGGTCGTTCTTAAGGTGAAATACTTTCGGTAAAATGGAAAGCTATACATGATCATGAATCGTTGAAATCCAACAAAAAAGTGTTTCCAAAGCGTAATCTGAAGAATTGCATTTAGTCCCAGAAATACGTATTTCAGAATGACAAGGATGGGTTTCGTTAGCTTGAATCTGAGCGAAATAAGCAAGGGTATCTTGACTCCTGAGATTATACCGTCAGTAATGGCAAGAGTAAAGAACAGAGTCATTATCTGTCGAGCAAATTGGGTCTCAACTTTGCAGGCTGCTTTGATGACCAGGACATTTCCAATGACTCCAATCAAACTACCGATTCCCAGAAAAGTCATCTCTACGTAGTCCTGCCAAGGTCGAGCGCTAGATGTGTTACCAAGCATCGTGGTATTCATTTCGAACGGATCTGTCATCACACTCGGCATAACTGCTGAATCTGACAATGAAGAACATACATATGCACATTAACCTTTTATAAATAGGGTATTAACTTATCTATCTTGTCATGTGAGATCGTGGCCAAAAAACCTAGACTTACTTCTGAGAGTTTAACTTTCAATTTAGCTTTATTTTCATTAGAGAATATGGATGTAAGTACAGGATGAGAATATAGGATAATTTAGTTTAACATGGCAAACCATCAGTGGAACCAGAACTTTTAAAATAGGGGTAGCTCATAAACATATACAAAAATTAATTGCGAGGAAGGGTTGAACAATGGGAAATAACGCTTTAAATACAAAGAAAATAATGCAATAAAGAGTGATTGCATGATTTTGCTATTAAAAATTGGTATTTCGAAGCACTGCTTGTTGTGACTCGAAACATGAACTAGAACTTCGTAATCAAAGGTATTAGAATCTGCCGACTGATAAACAAGAGGCCCATGGGCCAAAACGTTCATCAATGATCTGAGTCACCCCAGGGTCATGATTTTATCAAATTTGAATATACACTTAGTCTATAACTCCAGGAAGCTTTCACATAAGTTTCATCTTTTCTAGCGCAGTGGTTCTTGAGAAAATATTGAAATGACCGTATCAAAGTTTTCCTATTTCTTAATTATCTCCCCTTGAAAGAGGGTATGACTCATCATTTGAACAAGGATGCTTTGTGGCAAGTTTGGTTGAATTTGGGACAGTACATGGTTCTGCAGAAATTGAAAAAAAATATAGACGACACACAACAGACGGACGCCAGACAGTATCTAATCCAATGAAAAAAAAAGATATTAATCAAAATTCCATACACATTGAACGTAAATAACTGACCAAATGGCATGAAAGTCAAATATTAGAATAACAAAAAGGTGATTCGACAAGTAAGAAAGTGAAAAAACATATAGAATTCAATCATACATGTAAAAAAAAAAATAATGTTTGATATTTCATTAACATTAATGCATATTAAATCTGCTACGATGTCATAAGTATTGAGATTATTCGTTTATGAAATAGGATGCACAAATCAAATAGGGCAAAATAAATTCTATATGAATGCCTCTTTGCTCCAGTTTTCTTATTTTTTTTTTTTTAAATTTATTTATTTATTGATAGTAGATGAATCTCTTCAAAGTATTTGTAAAAAGACTGATTTTTTTCTGTTAACAAAACCATGGCGTAAGGACCCACTTTACTTTAAAAAATAGCATTAAATTTTATGACACAACATTTGTATTCTTTCCGAGAAATATTTAAACCCTAGATATCACAAACAGATTTAAGGAGGTTCGATCCTGAGCTTTTGAGCAGATTTTGGTCTGGACCTTTATTTATAAAATTCTGCATCATTTTTAAGTTCAAACATTAAATCTGAATTCTACAATGCAAATTAAACTATATCCAATGAAAAAACCACGATTAAATTCCATTCAAAGAGGATTAAGCCAGGAACTATATTTTGTGGCGGAAGGTTTTTTAGGAGAAAATGATCATTTTGTCTCCTTTTGAAATATATACAGTACTGTTAATTTTATATTCCTATTTTTCCACGCTGGTTGCACACAGAGCTGTTTTTTGCAGTGAAATGTTTTATGCTGGTTCTGAAATATCTATTAAATTATTTCTTATGAATTCTTTCAATATATTGTGACAAATATAGTAAATATATTCTGAAAGTCCAGGAGAAAATTTATAGCCAATTTTAACATAAAATTAACACTTTTTTAGTAATATCTAAAAATTTACGTCATAGACCCCCACTTTTGTTTTTATTTTCTGAATATATAAGATAACTTTGATCAATCTGCCTAAATTCAGAAAAAGTTTAAGACTTTAAAATAATTTTCTTGCTTGTTAAATTTTTAATGTCAGAAAAATCACATTTTTTGAGTGCAGAAAGGTCAAATAATTGATTATGCGAAGCAATTTGAAACTTTTTCTTAGTCACAATTTTGAAGTGTCTTTTTTTTAATGGACTAAAAGTTTAATTTGTCCCATGATTTATTTGAATAAAAACATTGGAGGGAAAACGTCGAAGATGATTGTGATTTTTGATTAAGACACAAATTTCAGTGCAAAAAGGTCATATTAAATGTACTGTAGCGCCAAAAGAAGCGTATTGACCCCCGTTTTTTGTTTTGATTTTTAATTAAGCTATATGTGTAGAAACTAAAAATATACTTGACAAAAAAAGTTTAAGACTTTAAATATCAGGATCCAACCTCGTTAACCTCTAGTATATGCTGGAACAAAGTACGTCTGGAGTTTCTCCTTTATAGCAGTTAATATTTTTGTGAGGAGTAAAGATAGGGGTTTGGTAGAGCACTTGCTGGACCTGGCAATGTATCTTTGTTTGTAAGGATTTTTATGAACTTTAGGAATCCAGTATAGGTATGGTAGATCGAACTCACCTTGACTGGAATGTTAAAAGTATTAAAGACTGTAATTTCGAAGAATTAAGAATGGTATGGAATTACATGTAGTTTAAGGGGTAAAGAGTCAGTTTTGGTGAATAAACTGATACTGAGGGGCCTTAGCGTTTGGGTTCAATCTCAATGGAAAACGCAGATTTTTTTAACATAGATTATGTTTTCAACATAACATAATTTCGTAAGTATTAACAAGAACTTCGCTTAAAATACTTAATTTCGAGAGAACGCATGGAATGGTAGATGCTTATGCAGATTCGGCCAGTACTCAACAATCCAAAGCGGACATCATGCCATTTTTTTTTCATGAGATTATTATTTCTATTGCTAGAAAAACTCATATCTATTTTTCCCTTGCGGATATAGTAAACATTGCTAATTATGCCGTTACGAAAGTTCCACATCCTCTTTCAAGGAGAGATACAAATCATTGACACATTATAGTTACTGTGCTTTCAAAGTGACATTTATGGAAATCCAGCTGCTTAAAACGAATCAATAATCAAGCATCAATATTTTAGTGTATCCACCTTTCAAAATCTTATCTGTTCTCTCTCATTCTAAGGCACATCTTTGCTACATGCTGATCTCTTCTTCATCATTCTAAGACACATCTTTGCTACAAGCTAATCAGTTCTTCCTCATTCTAAGTTACATCTTTGCTAAAAGCTTAACATTTTTTTTCTTATTATAAGGCACTTCCTTTGCTAATTGATAAATATTTTACATGTATATGCAAAAAAAGGCCTCACAGAGTTTAAGCTATATACTAGAGCTTTTGTGCTTCTTTTATATTAGAGAAACCAAAAGAAACGTTAAAATCCATACTATTTTTATACTTTGATGTAGGAAAACAGTGGAAATTTTCCGAGTACATTCGTTATTTTTTTTTAAAAAGAAACACGAATAACTAGCTCTTTCATCATTCCCTTAGCATAATCACGTGCCTTAAATTGTTTTTTTTTTTTTTTTTTTTTTTTTTTTTTGGTTGTCATTTTGAACTGAACCATTTTAATTTCCTTTAATTTCATTTGAGAGATTGAAAGTTTTCTTCTCAAAATAGAATAAATTGGTAGATCCTAAGTTGATACGTGTACGTCAAAGGGGCGTTAAAGGCATAAATCATTCGATTAACCGATATTTTACCTCTATATTTCAAAGGGTGTCCCTCATATGATACCTATATTATTATTCATTAAAATACAGTATATCTGTACAACAGACGAGTATCGTTATATATATCACATAATTATGCTATAATTGCCCTTTCTATAGACATCTTCTTGTGGATCAGCATTATTTGATTATGCTGAAATTTTAAGCCAGTAAGACATTTTCCCCAAATACTGTCTTGTTTTTGGACTGGGTCTATGACATCGATAGGAACAGTAAGTATGAACTCCTAGATTACTGCATGCCTCAATCAGCTTATAATACTTATGGACCCTCAAAACTAGAAAGTTGCATTTTTCTTATCAATCATAAAATTGTATTTTTCTATTTTTTTTACATATCTTCCGCATCTTTTTTCCATAAAAGCCTCGTTTAGATACGGCATGAAACAATTATTTATGCAAGGTAACCTATCTCTCAATAGAAGGCGGTGCAATTCGGAACTGTTGATACATGTACCTGGTCTAGTCTTACATCTCTTCTTCCTTTTTTCCCGTGATGGAGTGTTGAAACTCTAGCATCCAAGGCGAACGGCTAAAAATATCCATGTACAGGTAAACTTGATGAAAAACTAAAAAGTGGACGATTTTATGATGTAGGATCTTCGACATGTTGATGGGCTTTATATATAGTACTGCGTACCTGAAGATGTCCGCTTACTATGTTGTTCCATTCCACAATGACCGCAGAGATGGTAGACTGGAGCTTCAGTGAGATTACTGATGTAGACAAGATTCAAAAGGGGGTCCTATTACTGTGCCCTGGGTACTCTGGAGTTGACATCTGCTACACTGAGGAAAATCTCTGGTTTCTCCTTGTGTTGGTACTTCTTATGGTTCCACTCCACAATCACCAGTGGTATTCACGTAGTCTGCTTGCGCACTTGTAACACAACGTTGAACTCAACGGTGTCATATAGTGAGCTTTACCCATAGTAAAATATCTCCTGGAAGAAACTATATTAGTAAATCCTCCCCCATGGTGGAGGGTTTCTTCAGCAAAGTTAACCTTCCACTTAACCGTAAACAGTTCGGATTATATATATTTAATTGGAAATAAATTCTTAACTATAACATAATAGATGGTTTCAAATGCTTTAAATAAATACCCGTATTCTGAGTTTCATCTCTGTGAAACTATTGATGATCAGAGATACTTTGTTTAAATTAATCTCTAATAAAATTTTATGACGTGCTTTTTTAGCATATTACTAACAAACCTCCGTAACAGATCACACCAAATATTTCGTTAGTCGACAAATTGTGAGAAAAATTTGCACATAATTGCGTTGTCTGAAGTAAATGTGAAAGTTATCTGAAGATGGCCCATGTAGATACCCTTTCGCCACAATTTCATAATTAAGATATTTAAGCAGAACGAAGGTATACTAGCTTTAATTTACAACAACAACAAAATTGCAAAAACTATTGCGGAAACTATTCATCCATTGTGTTAATCTTGTTTGCTACCAACAATCAAATAAACACGATGAATAATGTGGAATCATTTTATTTCTTAAGGGTTAATGTGGGTTACTCATTTAAACGGTGGTTCAATGAATCAATATGTCAACAAAATATTCGTTCCTGTAAATTCATGGGTAAGGGTGACCCACGAAGTCCACGAACATTTGTCCCCCACGAACAATGCTGTTTCCAAAGTATACATAATTCCAAATTATGAATAATTAACAGGATTAAGGAGGAACGTTTATCAATATAAAAAGGAAAATATGTGGGGATGATTTCTGTACATAGGGGAAGGTTTGTTATATACATGTAATGAACTTTCCCCGGGGGAAAATTTACTCTATAGGAAAGTTTCAGGTAGGAAAGTTACTATATAGCAATTATTTCGAGATGGAAGCTTACTATATAGTAAACACTCCGGGGAAAGATTTGCAAAGGTTTACCAGACAACACCGGCTAATCAGAAGTCACACTTTCGGTGCTCTGAGCGAACTATTATTGCTTCGTGATCTAGAGGTCCGGGTTCGATTCTCTTCCCTGGCGCCATGTCAAACCTAAGACGTTTTACATATAGGTAGTGACTGTCTTCACCAAACCACCGGCAGTAGAAATGATAGTCACAGATCCTTCGGATATGACTCTAAAAAGGTACTAGGCCCCGTGTCACGGAAGGCGTTAGCACGATTAGGACTTACTGCTCACTGACCTTAGATGCCGAGTAAAGGTCTATTTGAAGTCACTCTATGGTATTTGGTGACGTCTCATATGAGTGAAGAATTCTCGCAAGGAACGTAAAAGAACAACAAAACGAAAACTTGCTTCCTCAGCCTGTCACATGACCTAAGGTGTATAAGCGAGTTGTTCAGTTAGTTGCTGACGGCTAGTGTTTCAGCAAAAATGGAGACCTCTGAGGTCACCTAAATAAAGTCCTACGCCTGAAATAGGTTTTCTAGACTTTGGGTATGTATATATTGTTTATAAACAAATTTGGCTTAGATGGAGAAGCTAGAGCACTTCGTACCGCGTGTGCTCCAGAGAACACGGATATTGTAAATACCTTTGATTTAAATCTGTGATTGAAATCTAAAAAAAATAACTTTGATTAAATTGAAGAGCAGTGGAACAGCCAAATCCAAAAATGAACTAAGAAACAATACAGTACGCTCTACAGGATTCTTGCATTTTAGCCTACAGAAGTGTAAGCGTAGTGCGGCAAGCAAATGTCCCACAAGCGATCTTTTCAGTTGTAGAAAAACACCAAATAAATAAATGTACTGATATCTATGGTGTCCGGATAGGGCCATTTGCAAAAGCTCAACAGCGCGTTCAGAAAAACACGCCGTCGCGCTAACACACATCACGTCATCACGCTGACACAATTATACAAAACACGTCAGCGCGCTTATACACAACACGCCGTCGCGCTAACACGCTTTCAAACAACACGCTGTTGCGCTAACACAACTTTACACAACACGATGTCGCGATGTCACACAACACACCGTCGCGCTAACGCAACTTTACACAACACGCTGTCGCGCTGTCACACAACTCGCTGACACAACTTTGTGATAGCGTGACGGCGTGTTGTGTTGTAAGCGCGACGGCGTGTTTTTCTGAAAGCGCTGTTGAGCTTTTGCAAATGGCCCTATCCGGACACCATAGATATAGGAGAATACAGCCGCATCATTGTCGGTAAGATGGAGGTCATATATTTTTTTCACCTGAAAGGCTATCACAGAGGAAATAGGGATCAATATCCTATTTGTGTTTGCAAATGAGTTCTCATTTTTGATTTCTGCATTATGCTTCTTTATGAATTGCTAATGATGAGCATCGTCATTTCTGATGCGACGATGAGGTAATATTTATATATTGTAGCTAAAGGGTTTTGTAGATGAATTTAATCATTACTGACATACAGAGGAGATTGATATTGAGTCTGAGATCGCCATAATAACACACTTGTAAATCTCATATGGCGTTTGCTAGGAATGAAAAACCAGTTGGTGTTCTGGTAGCGTCTTTTTGTTATACATACATGTAGACCAATTTATTCATTACATGGTTCGAATCGGTTGGCTGTGCACATGAAAAGTTTGATATAGCATTCATCTGTTATGACAGAAACGAAGTATTCTAAATTTTAGTCGTTGTGAGCAACATGTGTAGGTCAACATTTGTGCCACTTAACCTAAAGCTGGTAACGCCTTACTTGAGGGAAATATTCTCGAATCGGATGTAAAATTACATAAAATAGACCAAACCAAATCAGTCGTCACATTTTTATACCCTCCGCTTCAAAAGTATTTAGCGATGGGATGTCTGACCGTACGTCCGTTACACTTGACATCCCGGTGTCTTCCACCTATTCCTACTTTATAAAAATCACAATTCCACCTATTTCCACTTGCAAATAAAAATAGATGTATTGATAGTTCATTTGTTTTTACAGCAATTAGGTTAATTACATCCCACCTTAGAACTACTGTATTTTGTACACTTTAATACACTTTAAGACTTTCACAAAATATTTATTACATAGTGCCATTTTGCACATCCTATTTTACGTTTTGGGGGGTTTCCTATAGCAAATATGACTACTGCAATTCTTTCTACAATATTGTGGGTGCCATCTTTTATCAGCAACTCTTCCTTTACCATTGAATGAAATTTAATGAAACTTTCACAGAATCTTTATTACATACAAGTGTAATGCACCACTGTGTCTATTTTACGTTTTGATCGGACAAATATGTGGGGTTTCACAAAGCAAAACATGGAATTTACCATTATATTCATATGGGAGCGGGTTTTGTGAGCTCAATGGTCACAATACACTAGTTTTTTTTTCTCTTTTTTTTACACGATAAACATTGAAAAAAAAAGTTTAACTCATGATAGAAGCATGATAGGTAGTTCAAATACACGCATTCAAGTTTCTTTTCGAGATAGTTTCAGTATTTAAAATTATTATAGACCTTTCAAACAAAAAACGATACATGGATCATGTTTTAGTAAATGCCGATCAAAAGCTGAAAAGTAATACTCCTGAATAGATTTCAACATTTTATTGCCAAGTAGCTTTTACTTTTGACAAAATGACACTATATAAGTATCTTAATAATTTCTGAGAGGGATTACAGAGTGAGGAAAAAAGGTCGTGAATTGTGATAGACATACCAACAGACGTGGCAAATGTCTCTTCCTTCACTTTTTGAGGGAAGGAAAAATAATATAATTGTTCTAAAACAAGGGTTATAAAACTTAAAATCTATATGGTTTCCGTTGACAATGATAATCTTGCATTAGAAGGTCAGACTGTGAATCCCATGGGCATAAAGGAAAATTTCAAAATCTTGCACATTCGTATGAGATGCATTATTTTACCTTATTATAACCTCTATATGCATATTGTAATATTATGTTGGAATTCACGACGTACGTAGGCTGATTTGGGATGTGTCATGGTCCTTCTTAATCTAATAATGCTTGTTTCAAAGTCTTTTATATAATAATTTTTAACAAGATTCATAATTTTCATAAATACTTTACTTCAATTTTTTTTATTATAGTGTAACTTCCTAAATTACAAGAATCTAAGACAGAAAATGCTGATACAGATTAGTAGTTGATTAATTATTTGCAGTTCTACGTACGTCACTTGCAAAATTGTTTCTCACCAAATACCGGTGAAGGGCTTCAAATTTAGACCATTCCTCTGCACTCATGGCCATTGGGCAGTAAGGGTTCTTTAGCGTGCTAACGCATGCCGTGACGCTGGCTCTTGATTTTAATGTCTCGTCCGAAAGACCCACAGCTTGCACTTCAAAGTACGAAGGAACAGTTGCTACATATTTTATATCGATTTAGTTTTGTCGCGACCGGGGCTTGAACCCACGACCTTCCGATCACGGAGCGATCGCTCTACGAATTAGCTATATACCGTTTCAGTAACAGTACATGTAACGATGCGAAGAAGAAAGTGTACATGTAGATGATGTCTCTGAAACTCGATAAGTAACTCTCTCTTCTTTGAATAACCTAAATCTTATCTTGACTCGAAACTTAAACATTATCAGTTGACAGAGCCATTCTGGGGATGATTCCTGACATTAAAATCAAAGCAAAATTTAACAAAAGGAAAATTACAAACAGGTTTCAAGACGGTTGATCCTGGTGTTCAGTGAAATTCAATAGTGTGCTACGTGCAGACATATATTGGTCTAGAAGAGCACACAAATTAAAGAAAGCCAAGATGTAGCATCAATACTAGCTGATGAGTATTTGGTCGGTGATGTAATTCTGATGAAGGTTATGATAAAGAAATATCAAATCTTACATGTATTTC